CAAGAGTTGTCATCATAAGCAATGTTTAGGATTTTACCTTCATCAATGAGATATAACAAATCTTCTTTTGATACTACGACAGTAGTACTATTCTCTTTTTGCTTCTTCGTTGGACTGATTTGGTTTAGCTTAACTTTACCAGCCTTCTGGTCTCTCTTGAAGGATCAACATTCTATTTTCTTGTGGCCTATCCTTCTACAGTAGTACCATGTAATCTTCGAGCGTGACTTGGTTCTACCTCAGGATTGATGCAGATCTTGACTTTTGCTACGTCTACGAGTTTCATTCCTATCCCGATTCTCAATAATATTAGCTTCGAGATAAATAGACTTATCTCATTTCATTCTTATTGCTTTTTCACCGAGGAGGCTATCACTAATGGTATCCATGGTGAGCTTTCCTTCCGGAGCTGAATTACTAAGTGTAACAATGAGTGTATCCCAACTTTCTGGGAATGAACTAAGGAGTAGAAGGGCTTGCAACTTATCATCAATTTTTATCTCAGTTTTTTAATTGATTTACAAGCCTCTTGAAATTATTTAATTGCTCAATCATACTTTACCATCCTTATACACCAATTTCACCAACCGTCGAACTAAATTGGCTTTGTTACAAGGTGTTTTATTTTGAATCATGGACTCAAACGTTGTCCATAATTCATAAGCATTTGTATAAGTAGAAACTTTCTCAAAGAGGGTTTTATCAATGTACTTACGGATCATAGCAACGACCTTCCAATTTAATAGCTGCCATTGAGCATCGCTATTGCCTTTTACCTTGTTTTTGTAGATGATGGGCTTATGCAAATCCTTGCTATACAGGTGGTCCTCCATCATCGGCTTCCAATATGAGTAGTTATTGGCTGTGAGCTTGAACATATCTCCATCATGAGTGATGTTATCCTCCATCTTGAACTGCATGAGCTAATTACGGTTACGGATGAACCTGGCTCTGATACCACTATTGGGAATCACGGTCCTTTCCGCTTCGTGAAGTTAAGATATGCACTTAGAGATTAAGAATAGTTAAGAGAGCACAAGAGTATAATTCTCCAATTTGGAAATTCTTCCACTATACAAGAGAATAGTAGGATTATAAGGATATGTAGAAACATGCTCAAAGATGATTTTATCAATGTACTTACGGATCATAGCAACGACCTTTCGATTTAGTAGCTCCCATTGAGCATCACTCTTGCCTTCTACCTTGTCTTTGTAGATGACGAGCTCATGCAAATCCTTACAGTACATGTACTCATCCATCATCGGCTTCTAATATGAGTAGTTATTGGCTGTGAGCTTGAACATGTCTCCATCATGAGCGATGTTATCATCCATCTTGAGCTGCACGAACTAATTAAGGCTGTAGATGAACCTGGATCTGATACCACTATTAGAAATCACGTTCTTCCTGCTTCATGAAATTAATATATGAACTTAGAGATTAAGGATAGTCAAGAGAGCATAAGAGTATAATTCTCCAAGTTGGAGTTCTTCAACTATAGAAGAGAATAGTAGGATTATAAGGATGTGTTCAAAAAATTTGACCCACATTTGGTTGCTCACTTTAGCTTAAGGATAAAAACTTCTTAAGCTATATCTCTTCTCTCTCAAAGAGGTTCTCTAACTCTCTAGTTTCTCACTCTAAAAAGTGGGCTCTCTTAATATTTTTTGGATTTTTGGATAGCTAGGAATGATGTCTCTCACCCTTATTTATACTACTTCACCTCAACAATGAATGGTGGAGATTACTTACATCCAAGGATGGAGATTAATTATCTAAAATGCTCCACACACTCTAAGAAGCTCTACATTCTTCCACTCTCTTCCATACTATTCCATAAGGTTCCACACATCCCCACAGGATTCCACACTCTTCAATAAGCATCTAGAGAAATTTACACTTCTCTAGAGTTCTCCGGAATGTTCTAGAAAATTCTACACTTCTTCAGAAAGCTCTAGAATTTTCTAAAACCTCTCTAATTAAGGAGGGATCCAATAATTTTCTATGGAAGAAGAGCGTTGATTTATAAGTACAGACTATTTATAATTTAATTATGGAATTTATGGTCAAGGATAATTATAAAACAAGCATTGGTCGAGTAACTTAGAGTACCTCTCCCTTCGGTCGACTCTTTCAGATCCTCGTTGGCTTTTGAGTTTCAACACCCTTTAGTCGCTTCCCTTTCACTGCCCACTTACTGAATCCTATCCCTCTGGTTGAGATACCTTGTAACCTCTTGTCAATGCTCATTATTGCATTACTCTCACTTTCAATTCGTTATGTGTAGTGGCAGCTTAAATCCAGTTAACACTCAAATTGAGTGCTCACCCAATCTTTGCCTTTGTCCTTTCATCCAAATTTCATTCATGCATTGATCCACGATGACGAACTGGATCTAGAACCTTCCCTCGTAGGGTTAGATCATTCATTTACTCACTCGAACAGACCACAAAAAGAATCTAATAAATTTTCAACCCCGATGGGAGCCTTTGGTCTAACATTTCCTCTCTCTCCCAAACGTTTTCACTTGGGCTTTCGTATACGACTTTAAATGAAAATAAATCTTGTTACTTACTTGACTATGAGAACTTCATAAGGTTTTCGATCCTCGTACAATGTGGTTAAGCTCTATTTTTTAACTCTCTTGATGCTCGAGTTAGCTGGTTTTTTCAATCCCTATTCTTGAAGTCGATATCTTTCTCTGGAGCCATCCTTCATGATTCACATCCTATCGCTCATTCAAATCACAAACTTTTGATTATGTTCTATTTGTTAACCTCAAACATAGGTCTATCACCCTCACACGTAGCTTCATTCAATACCTCTTCCAACATGGTGAATGTCGACAGAAAAGTGAATGCATGCGATATATTAAATTAACTATTCATAATTCTAAATGGACATCTTTGATGACAAGGCCAGCTTTCAGCACAATTTCCTCTGGCATATTTTGAAGCTTGCATAACCCCCTATCTAAGCCTTTCCTTGTATCGGTATCACTCTGCATGTCGAGATATAATTGTTGTATTGGCCTCCTATTTTCTCTTAGAAAACTGGAAATCTTCTGATAACGGGAGATGTTGAGAGTGATATGGATCTCATTGATTATGGACGCCCTTGATAAGTGTTTTAATTTAGTTAATATTTTGCTTTTAAATTACTCCTTAATCATTGGTTTTTGTGGCTTAATTGTTCGTTTTGATTCATTTTCTGTGCAGGATGCCAGATTCTGGAAGTTGCACAAAAAGGACAGAACTCTGCAGTTTTTTATTTTCGAAATCAAAGCTGGCTGGAATTTGGATTTGGATTAAACTCAAGTTTTAGGATAATATTTTAAACATTATATGTTATCTTTGTTTTAGGTATTTTAGTTTAAATAAGTTTTAGTATTTTATTAAGTTTTAGGATATTTTTTTTATTTTATCTTTGTTTTAGGTATTTTAGTTTAAATAGGTTTTAGTATTTTAATTAGGATTTATAATATTGTTTTAAATATTATTATTATTTTAGCTATTTTAGTTTAAATGGTTTTAATTAGGATTTAAGATGTTTTATCTTGTTTTTCGGAATTTGAAGGCTATAAATACCCTCTCAGGGTGAGCCTAGAAACATATATCTCTCATATGAGAATAAAATCTTCTTTTTCTCTCCAGCTTTCTCTCTATTTTTTGCATACTTTTCAATTATGCTAAGCATGACTTTAGTCATGCTTAGCTAAATTTCTTTTAAGCCAAAGACTAAAGCGAAGACTCAATTCCAAATGTTAGAATTTTAAGGTACTTAAATCACTTCGGATTTTTCTCTCTATTTTTTGAGCTTACTTTTCAAATCAAAACGATTCTACATTAGTCCAGATATTGTTATGGTTAACGTTTGAAGAATGATTTACTTATTGAAGCATATTCAACTTCCCGAGAACACATTTATTAAAATAGTTTGCTAAGAGGAAACTGAGATCGGAATTGTCCTTGTAAGTCGACGTGAATCTTGAAGTAAAAATATGTTTCGATGATCCTAGGAATTTGAGGCAAAGCTGAAGTTTGAGGCTGCTTTCACAATAAGTTTTCTTTATCCCAATTTAGTTATTTTATTTATTTGTTTATTTAATTTTTATCTCATTATAATTCTTTAAATAATTTAAAATTCCATTTTATCTTTATTATTATTTTTAAAATCATTGTTTATTATTTTATTATTTTCCCTTTTTTATTTTATTTTATTTTATATTTTCAATTTCATCTAGAATTTTTTCTTCTTCTAAAATCAAGAAATAGTTTTACTAAATCAGAAACACCATAGTCCCTGTGGATCGACCCTGCTTCTCTATACTACTTTCCCTTTCTATTTATTAAAGAAACCGGAATTATTTTGACAGAAAAACGTCGTTTATCAAATTGGCGCCGTTGCTGGGGACTAACGACAAGTGCTGATTTATTTTTCTAGTTTTTGATTTATGACCAGAAGAAATCCAAGTGAATTAGTAGATTTAGATATGGAGATCGAATCACGAGCATGAAGAATCCATGCATAAACTCTTCGAGAGAAGAGAAAAAGACAAGAAGAACAAGAGCATAGATCAGAAACGGAATCAAATTTGGACTCTGAAGAAGACGCATACAACATTCTGATGGTAGAAGAAGAACAAACAATCCGAGAACTAACCACAACTCATGTCACTCAAACGCCATTATGCATCAATTTTCCTACTGGCGGGACTCCGTTTTAATTAAAGATGGGACTCATTTATCTTCTTCCCACTTTCCACGGCTTTCCCACTGAAGATTCGTATAAACACTTGTTGGAATTCCACATGGTTTGTACTAGCATGAAAACAAAGGGAGTTACCGAGGATCAAATTAAATTGAGAGCTTTCCCTTTCTCTTTAGCCGACTTGGCTAAAGATTGGCTATTTTATTTACCTCCTAATTCAATTTATTCATGGGCTGACATGAATCAAAATTTTCTTGACAGGTTCTTTCCAGCGGCAAAAGCAAGCGAGTCACGAAGGAGCATTCTTTCCATTCAACAAAAGATCGAAGAAAGTTTTTATGACTATTGGGAGCGATTTAAAAAGCTTTGTGCACATTGTCCGCAACACGGATTAAGTGAGCAAACGTTACTTCAATACTTTTATGAAGGCCTTTTACCAATGGAGATTAAAATGGTGGATGCCACCAGTGGAGGAGCATTAGTCAACATGACCCCAACAATAGCAAGAGAATTGATTTCAACCATGGCAGCCAACTCTCAACAGTTTTCAAGTGAACCCATTTTCCCCTGAAAATAAGTTAGATAAATTAATTGAAATAGTTAATTCACTTGTTGAAGGAAAATCTGGAGCAACAAGAGTATGTGGGATATGCACAAAACTAGACCATCCAACGTATTACTACCCACTGATACAAGAAGGAGGCAATGTAGAAATCAATGTAGTAATGAACTTTTCAAATCCTCCACAAAGACAATACAACCCATATAATAATACTTATAATCCAGGATGGAGAGACCACCCAAACTTCAGCTATGGGGTAAATCAAAGACCAAGTTATCCACCAAGGCCTCATCCTCAGCAACAAACACAAAACTCATCATTGGATGAACTCATAGGAAAGTTCGCAATTTCACAAGAAAAGCTGGTTACATCCCAGGAAAAGTTCCAAAGTCAAACCGAAACACATCTTCAAGAGTTAGATAACCATGTAAGCTGCCTAATTCAAACAATGGGGAATTTGGAATCACAAGGAAGATTACCTACTCAACCCAAGGTAAATCTAAGGGAGAATGTCAGCGTCATCACTCTTCGGAGTGGTACAATAGTGGCGCCACCTGTTCCAAAAGATGAAGCAATCCAAAAAGGGAAGAATACTGTAGATTCAGGATCCCAGAAAAAGAGTGGCGAAGTACAAACAGGTCCAATACCATCTCCCTATGGCGTGCCACCACCTTTTCCATCGAGGTTAGTAAAAAGAGATAAACAAAACTGAAGAAAAGAAAATACTAGATGTATTTCAGAAGGTGGAAATCAATATACCTCTCATTGAGGTTATCCGAAAGGTTCCAAGAAATGCCCGATTTTTGAAGGACCTTTGTACAACAAAGAGGAAGCTTACCGGGAATGAGAAGGTAAATCTAGGAGAACATGTCTCAGTTGTATTCCAACAAAAGTTACCACCAAAACTGAAAGACCAAGGTATGTTCACAATACCCTATAAAATTGGTAAAGTTGGGATAAAATGAGCCATGTGTGATCTTGGCACCTCTATTAATGTAATGCCTATCTCTTTTTACAATATGATTACTAACGAGCCCTTGAAGGATACAAAAATATTAATTTATCTTGCCGACAAATCTGTCTTTTACCATGAAGGACTCTTGGAAAATGTGCTGGTGGAGGTAAACGGTTTAATATTTCCCGATGATTTTTATGTAATTGACATGGAGAATGATCGCACCAACACTTCTTCCGATATTCTATTGGGCCGTCATTTTCTAAGTACTGTGCACACAAAGATTGAAGTAAGAAGTGAAACTTTAACCATGGAGTTTGATAGTGAGATCGTTAAATTTGATGTGTATAAGAAAATGAAACACCCAGACAAAGTAGCAAGCATAAATTATTTTGGCATTATTAATCCTTTAGAAAATGAGTTTGTAGAAACTAATTTTTCTTTTAATTTATGCAGGGAGTTAGAAGATCATGATGAGGAAATCAGGAAGTTGAAAAAAAATATTTTCAGATTGTGCCGATCTAAAATTGATTCCTGCTAAGTCTAATGTTCTGCCTTCTGTTTTGCAGACACCTGAGATAGAACTGAAACAAATGTCGAAAAACTTAAAGAGTGTCTTTTTAGGAGAAAATGCTACTTCACCGGTTATTTCAGATAAGATGTCAAAGCTAAAAAAGATCTGAAGAATAACCTATGAGAATGTCAAATTCTACAAGGAGAAAATAAAAGAATTATACAATCGTAGAATTTCTCATAAAGAAATTCTTAGTTGGAAAAAGTGTATGAAGTGGAAGAAGTATTTCTCTTAGAACCTGTAGTCTGAATCAGGTCGTCGAGCTAACGACATTAAACAAAAGCGCTTGACTGGAGGCAATCCATTTCGTTTTATTTTCATTTTAATTTTGCTTTATTTTTAGCCAAATTTATTTCATTGCATTTATTTTATTTTATTTTATCAGATGCTTAATTTTATTTTATTTTTCTCTGAACATATTAGAATTTTGATCGAATATTTCTTACCTTCGCCCAGACTCGTCTCGACATGACCGTGGCCTCGGTCGCCACTAGATTGGGGAGTATTCCTTTTCCCTCTCTTTGTTTTTAAATTCGACATACTTTTTGGGATAAAACGGATTAAGTGAGGGGAGAGATAAGCATGTGTCAAATTTTTCCTTGACTTGTTTAATTGTTTCAAATTGAGTTATTCTGATGTTGATATGTTAGGATCGTTAGTTACTAGTCTTGAATTTCGTTTTATACTATTGCTTCCTTTTGGATTATGAGTATGTTTTTGATCGAATTTAATTTACATGATTTGTGATTGATATAACTGGTGAATTTTTTGTTGATTATTGATATTTCATGCTTTTTCGATAGAGATGAACTTGACTCAATGCATATAAACTTTTCTTGTGAGATTTGAGCCTAACAAGCATACATTTTATTTCTTGCTCATTGTTTGACTTGTGTGTGTCGAACTAATTAGGATATTCTAGAATTTGTAATCACAATGCATATCGAGACTACATGTTGAACGTAATGTTTTAATGTGATAGGGGCACCTAGGATAAACCCAATCTTCCCAAAAAGCCTACACGTTTATATATCCACTAGTGAACCACATTTGAGCATATTTCCCTTTCTTTATTTTACACCTCATAATTAAACCCAAAGCCTTTTTTTTATTTTTCCACTCTTTTCACACCCTTGCCGAGACTTGAGATCTTATATCATTTTTGTTCCATGAAAAAAATGAAAAAAAATTAATTGTTTCGAAACCAAATCCAAAAAAACAAGTTGTTCACTGTTTCAAACAGTAAAAGAAAAAGAAAAAGAAAAAACAACAGACCCTTGTTAGAAAAAAGGGAAGAAAAATCGATCGTTTCAATTGTCTTTCATCTATTCTTTTTTTCTTGTTTTGTTTTTCATTACGCTTCATGTTGATTCGTGGATTGTTCTTAGTTATTTTGATCTCTTGTTTCGTTATTTTGAACCTTTCTTTTCGGCCTTTTCCCTACCCTAACCTAAGTCCCGTTACACATTGTTTAAAGACCCCTTAATTATTGCATTATGTTCATTTTTCGTAGTGGAGACTTGATTGGATTCCAAACCTATGGTAATATTTTGGTTAGTTTCGGTTTGAGAGATTTCAATTACCCCAAGCACTTTGAGCAGATATGTGTGAATCTTTGTGAGGTATTGAGTCATGTTTCATTGAAGTTGGCAATTAATTGAGATATCTTGCTTACTTTAAATTTTCTTGGTTGTATCTTTACTTGATTGTAACTTGAATTCGACAAATATCATGGACTTAGTTCGATTGGAAGTTTAAGGAATAAATTGAAATTGAAGATGACAACTTATGATTTTGATATGTTAATTGATGAATGCTTGAGGATAAACATTGAATAATTGAGGGGAATTTGATAATTGCTTAATTTAGTTAATATTTTGATTTTAAATCACTCCTTAATCATTGATTTTTGTGGCTCAATTGTTCATTTTGATTCATTTTATGTGCAGGACGTCAGATTTTAGAAATTGCACAAAAAGATAGAATTCTGCAGTTTGTTTTATTTTTCGGAATCAAAGCTGGCTGGAATTCGGATTTGGATTAAACTCAAGTTTTAGGATAATATTTTAAACATTATATTTTATCTTTGTTTTAGGTATTTTAGTTTAAATAAGTTTTAGTATTTTAATTAAGTTTTAGGATATTATTTTTATATTTTTATATTTGTTTTAGGTATTTTAGTTTAAATATCCCTTAAGTTTTAGAGGCACCTTCTTGTCACACAAAACTCCAGTAGCAGCCCTCCACTTTAGCCATCCCGCCTTTATACGGTGTGTAGCGTCATCATCTACACCCCCATATTTATGTATCATAGACCCTATGTACTTGAAACATTTCTTTAAGGGGATAACGTGTCCAGCGATGCATACTTCTACATCTTCAACGTTTTGTTTCCCACTAAAATTTGAACATAAATACTCTATATTTTCAATATTGATCCTTAAACATTGTTCTTCCAAAGCAGTCTTTCAGGTAGCCAGTCTACTATTCAGCTCATTTTTTGTTTCAGCAACTAGGACAATGTCGTCAACGAAAAGCATACACCATGGAACACCGTCTGGTGTTGCATAATAGATGTCGTCCATAATCAAGGCAAAGATGTAAGGGCTAAGTGCCGACCCCTGGTGGAGTCTGATTTCCACCGAGAAAGCCTCGGTGTCACCAACTGTAGTCCTGACATATGTAGTAGATCTACAGTACATATCATGAATCACCCGGATATAAGCAGTTGGTCCGTCTCTTTTCCATGGTCTTCCAAATCGTATCTCGGGGTACGCTATCATACGCCTTCTCAAGGTCAATGAACACCATGTGAAGATCTTTATTCTTTTCCCTATATTTCTCCACAAGCCGTCGAAGTAGATGAATTGCCTCTGTAGTAGACTTGTCTGGCATAAAACCAAATTGGTTTTCCGAAACCCTAGTAATTTGTCTCAACCTAGCCTCTATCACCTTTTCCAATAGCTTCATAGTATGACTGAGTAGTTTAATACCTCTGTAGTTACCACAACGTTGGGGATCTCCTTTATTCTTATAGATTGGTATCATTGTAGACTCTCTCCACTCCTCTGGCATCTTGGTAGTCTCTAAAATAATATTAAAAATGTTGGTCAACCACTTAACTCCCTCTTCTCCTAGGGTCAACCACACAGTGATAGGAATTTGATCTGGACCAACAGCTTTGTCCATCCCAATCTTTCTAAGGGCCATTTTGAATTCCTCAATCCCAATCCTACTTGTGGGACAGTCATTGGTCGTAGTATGATGGTCGGCTAACCCATCAATGTTACTATCTTTACAGG